GAAGGTGGCTCAGTGGTAGAGTGCTTGCCTTGCATGCATGAAGCCCCTGGTTGGAGTCCTCAGCACCATATAAGCAGAAAAAGCCGGAAGGGGGACTGTGGCTCAAGTGGTAGAGCACTAGCCTTGAACTGAAGAGCTGAGGGACAGTGCCCAGGCCCAGAGTTCAGGCCCCATGACCGACCAAAATAAATAAATAAATAAAGAGTTCCCAAAGGCTAGGAAGGCTTTCTAATGTGGTGTTTGAGGCACAGTTACTTGTAGGATGATATTGCCAATAAACTATCCAGAGCCAGCTATGCTAGATTAGAAAAAATCAGATAGTGAAGAAAAGGAAGTTCTCTCCCCACCATTTATACAGAAGTTAAAAATTAGTCTATTACTTGATACATATTTGTGTGATCTGAACATTCCTTTTGGTGATCTTTTCCTAGAGCTTACATCCCAAAGATGGCCATAAATAATAAGAGGCATGTTGAATTGCAATATAGTTAAAATAGCTAGAGTTTACTCTCCTAGGTAATTTAGTTTATATTGGTACTAAAGCACAAAAGCACATTTAAATTAAAGCATATTTATTGAAAACATAAGGCATGTAAGTATGCTGTCATGTTGCTGTATAATATGCTTTTTATTTATTTATTTTTTTGTCTGTGGTGGGAATTGAACTCTGGGCCTTGGTGCTGTCCCTCAGCTCTTCAGCTCAAGGCAAGCACTCTACCACTTGAGCCACAGTGCCACTTCTGGTTTTCTGATCGTTAACTGGAAATAAGAGTCTAACTTACTTTCCTGTACGGACTGGCTTTGAACCGTAATCCTCAGATCTCAGCCATCAGAGTAGCTAGGATTACAGGTGTGAGCTACCAGTGCCAGGCTTAATATGCTTTGCTAACAATGTTTAGGAATTATAAATGTTGCTAAAAGTTTAGAATGTTTGGAGTTTTTAACGAAAAAATATGGTCAGGGAATTTTGTAATTATTATTTGGAGTTTTGTTGCTGTTTTATTTGAGTGTTAAATCTAAGGAACAAAATATTGCTTAGGCCAGGTGCCTGTGATCCAAGCTACTCAGGAGGCTGAGATCTGAAGATCACAGTTTGAAGTCAGCCTGGGCCAGAAAGTCCGTGAGATTCTTTTTTTTTTTTTTTTTTGTCGGTCGTGGGACTGAACTCTGGGCCTGGGCGCTGTCCCTCAGCTCTTCAACTCAAGGCTAGTGCTCTACTACTTGAGCCACAGCACCACTTCCGGCTTTTTCTGCTTATGTGGTACTGAGGAATCGAACCCTGGGTCTCATGCATGCAAGGCAAGCACTCTACCACTGAGCTACCTTCCCAGCCAGTGAGATTCTTATCTCCAGTTAACCACCAGGAAACCGGAAGTTATGCCATGGTTCAAGTAGTAGAGCATTTGCCTTGAGCTGAACAACTGAAGTACAGTGCCCAGGCCCAGAGATTCAAGCCCCACTACCAACCAAAAAAAAAAGTATATTGCTTAGGCAAAGCTAACAGTGTAGTTCAGTGGTTGAACATTTGCCTGACATGTGCAGCTGAGGCCCTGGGTCTGCAAAGAGATGCTAACTATTGAACCTAGGACAAGCAAAAGCTTGCTTTTAACAATACCCACAGCTAGAAAGATAGATAGAGGGGCTGGGAATGTGGCTTAGTGGTAGAGTGCTTGCCTAGCATGCATGAAGCGTGGGTTTGATTCCTCAATGCCACATAAACAGAAAAAGCCAGAAGTGGTGCTGTGGCTCAAGTGGTAGAGTGCTTGTTTTGAATAAAAGAAGCTTGGGGACACGGGGCTGGGAAGGTGGCTCAGTGGTAGAGCGCTTGCCTTGCATGCCTGAGGCCGTGGGTTCGATTCCTCAGCACCACATAAGCAAAAAGAAAATAGCCGGAAGTGGCCCTGTGGCTCAAGTGGTAGAGCGCTAGCCTTGAGCTGAAGAGCTGAGGGACAGCGCCCAAGCCCAGAGTTCAGGCCCCACGACCGGACCCAAAAAAAAAAAAGCTTGGGGACAGTGCCAGGGCCCTGAGTTCAAGCTATAGGAATGGCAACAACAACAACAAAATATAGATAGATAGATAGATAGATAGATAGATAGATAGATAGATAGATAGATAGATAGAGTTAGATAGGTAGAAAATTAATTATGAAATTATTTGCTTATACCTGATGAGGATTCTCAACTCCATTCCTCTTCCAAGGCAGTGTTCAATAAAATGAGGCTCTGGTTAACAGGTTGTTTTGTTTTTTTTGTTTTTTTGGATCAGTCATGGGGCTTGAACTCTGGGCTTGGGCGCTGTCCCTGTGCTCTTCAGCTCAAGGTGAGCGCTCTACCACTTGAGCCACAGCGCCACTTCCGGTTTTCTAGTGGTTTTATTGGAGATAAGAGTCTCATGGATTTTACTGCCCAGGCTGGCTTTGAACCGTGATCCTCAGATCTCAGCCTCCTGAGTAGCTCGGATTACAGGCATGAGCCACCGGTGACCAGCGAGAGAATATCTCTTATTAGCTACTAATAAGAGATGGCTATCTTCCTGTGAATTTAAAGTGAAACTTCCCTTTCCATTTCTCTTTTGTTTCTTTTTTTTTTTTTTTAACGATCACTAATTCTTTTCTAGTTCCTTGAATATACTCTTGTTTCATTTTCTTGTAGAGTTCCCTTATCGGTTTTTTTTTTTTTTTTTTTTTTTAGCCATTTGAAATCTTTGTTGTTGTTGTTGTTATTGTTGGTCATGGGGCTTGAACTCTGGGCCTGGGCGGTGACCCTCAGCTCTTCAGCTCAAGGTGAGGGGTCTATCACTTTTGAGCCACAGTGCCACTTCCAGTTTTCTGGTGGTTAATTGGAGATAAGAGATTTGAACAGCGATCCTCAGATCTCAGGCTCCTGATTGATTAGGATTACAGGTGTGAGCCACCGGCACCTGTGCAGCTAGCCCTCATTTTCTTTTCTTTCTTTCTTTTTTTTCTTTTTTCTTTTTTGGTTGGTCATGGGGCTTGGACTCTGGGCTTGGGCGCTGTCCCTGCGTTCTTCAGTAGCCCTCATTTTCTTACCTGAAAACAGAGTAAATGATACATGGTCATAATGCAGAACAAGCTGTGGTGATGGTTAAGTTCATGAAAAAAGTATAAAACTTTTTAATATTATGCTCAAAATTGTTTCCTCTTTTACCTTCACGTGTTAGTGAAATACTCCAGGGTACGTGGCTAAAGACTGTTAGGTCACTAGAGTGAGCCCACATTAGGGTGATTGGTGCCTTACAGAAAGGTCTCAGAAGCTTAGCACAGTGTACATGCCTGTAATCCTAGAATTTGAGTGAAGGAGAGAGGACAATTACAGAGTTTAAAGTCAGGCTGGGCTTCACAGAGAGACCCATTCCCCACCCCATTCTACTCCCAAAAAAACACACCTAAGAGAGCTCTCTAGGTGTTTCCACCAAGTGAAAGGAACAATTAAAGCAACAACAATAACAAAACAAAAACAACCAGCTGTCTGGAAACTAGCCAAGGACCTCCACAGACACTAAATCTCCAGACTCCTTAATCTTAGATATGGATTAAGATAAGCTGCAGGTTCTTTGGACAGTGCTTCTGTTGAAACAACCGAAAATCAGAGTTCCTACAACCTTTTTGTAGGGTTCTGTTTATTTGCTGGAGCACTCTCAGGATGCAAGAAAACTCTTAGGTTTACTAGTTTATTACAAAGGATTTTGTAAACCTGGCACTCATGCCTATAATCCTTGCCATTCTGGAGGTTGAGATCTGAGAATCCGAAGTTTGAACCTACTCCAAGCAGAAAGATTGGTAAGACTCTCATTTCTAAATAACTAGGAAAAGCCAGGCTCTGGTGGCTCACGCCTGTAATCCTAGCTACTCAGGAGGCTGAGATCTGAGGATCACGGTTCAAAGCCAGCCCGGGCAGGAGAGACCGTGAGACTCCTATCTCCAGTAAACCACCAGAAAACCAGAAGTGGCACTGTAGCTCAAGTGGTAGAGCGCTCGCCTTGAGCTGAAGAGCTGAGGGACAGCGCCCAGGCCCAGAGTTCAAGCCTCACGACCGACAAAAAAAAAAAAAAAAAAACTAGGAAAAAGCTGGAAGTGGAGTATGGTATAAGTGGGCTCCAAATTCACTTCAACTTTGAGCAAAAAAGCCAAGGAGAGCATGAAGCCCTGAAGTTCAAGCCCAGTAATAGCACATGTTTGTGCACTTGTACACACATACATGGATATTACAAAGGATATCAATGAATATAAGAGATGAAGAGCTGGGTGAGGTCTAGAAGGAGCCTCGGGGCTTCTACACCTTCTCTAGACCAGCCTCCTGAACCTGTGTGTTCAGCTTTCTAAAGACATTTTGAAATTTTGTGGAGGTTTCATTACACAGTATGCTTGATGAACGTGGGCCAATGGTGATCAATATAACCTTCACTTCTTACCCTTTTTAGAAGTTTGAGATGGGGGGTAGAAAAGACCCAGTTTTCTACTTACACTTTAGACTTGAGACTTGGGGGCTGAGCCCTCATTCTGGACATTCATAGAAGATGAAGACTTGTGTGTGTGTGTGTGTGTGTGTACTGTACATATATATGTATATATATATATATATATATATATATATATATACATATATGTATATTTCAGATGTGGATGATGATTGAGGGGGTAACAAATAGTCCAAATCACAGTGAAACTCTAGAAGCTTGTATCTAAAATAAGCCTTTTGAATGGACTCCCCCCACCCCTGCCAATAAGTAGCAACTTCTCACCCACACTAATGGAGATTTTATGATTAAATTTACAAATTCTTTGGTATACTCTTGAGCAGGCTTCCTTTCTCTGTACTTGGAGTTTCAGACAAGCTCAATGTCAGGAAAAGGGGGGTGTGGGCTGTTGGGCGGGCGCTCAGCAGCTAGAATGTGGTTGGCAGTCTCCTCCCCTTCCGCACTCGCTCTACACTGTGTGCTCTCTGGAATGACAGGCATTCCTGTGTGAAGAGAACCAGCGTGAAGACATATTTGTAAGGATCACAAGTGCCCAGGCCAGGATACAGGGAAACAGAAATTCCAGGAGATTAACTGACCTCATGTCATTTCCTGACGTTTGGCAGTGACACTGAGAGAGAATTGCTGGTACCCTCCTTATGTGGATTTATCTTTTAAGAGAAGTTTGCTTTCGTCCGGGACAGTTTGTTGTCGTGAGATACATCTAAGAGAGTATAATCATGGGGCAAGCTGATGTCTCCAGACCGGTAAATCCAGATGCAGTTGGTGAGTAATTGAAGGCAAAAAAACCAAAAATCTTGGCAGAGGCAAGGCAGATTTACAGGTGAAGTGAGTTTTTTCATAAGAATTTAAATGCAAGAGCTTTGATGTTCCTAACTTTGGAACAGTTGTAAGTTTGTGAGTAATGAATGAAAACATGTAAGTTATTTTCACTTAAGTTATATTAATTTACCACTCAGTTTTGTTTTACTTGAAATCTTTGTTGTATTTTTAGATAATTGCTAGGGAGTTTCCTGCTGATTTCTTGCTCTTGAAGAAAAGTGCTATTGAAAATGTTACTTAGAATTCAGAAGTATCTTACTAGCGTTTTTGTAAAACTTGAGTAATTGCTAAATAATTGGTACAGAAATAAAACTGCTGACTTCTAGAAATTGCACCAAATTTTAGAAAACTGCACCAGTTTTTATACTTGATTATACCTTTTCCAAGTCAGTCTCAGGCTTTTCCAGTGTGCTTGTGTATCTGTTGCTTTGATGTATATACTTTTCTGAAGTCAGTGCTTTCTATCTGAAGTATTACTGTCTCTGGATAGCGACAGACTAGGCTGAGAATTGTGATTATAGCTCAGAGTTTTAAAACCTATAGCAAAATGATAGTCCTTCACTACTGCAGGCACATTTTCCTAACTTTTGAGGGCTTTATATGTGAGGTGACAATCATAACTGGGAGGAGTGATGCATGTATGTAAGCAAGTGGGGGAAAGCCTGTAAATATTTTCTGGATATTATACTATTTAAGAAAAAGGGTTAGCTGGGCGCCAATGGCTCACACCTGTAATCCTAGCTACTAGGGAGGCTGAGAACTGAGGATCACAGTTCAAAGCCAGCCCGGGCAGGAAGTACGTGAGTCTCCAGTTGACTACCAAAAAACCAGAAGTGGTGCTGTGGCTCAATTGGTAGAGAGCTCACCTTGAACTGAAGAGCTCAGGGACAGCACCCAGGCCCAGAGTTTAAGCCCCACGACCAACCCCCCCCACACACACAAAAAAAAAGAAAGTTGTACTGTCACTATGACTTACTGAAGTAGTAGGAAACATATTCATTCCCATGTTCCTTTTATTCTTGAAAGTAAAAAATGCTAGTCACTTTGAAGAAAAGCATAAAAATAGGAACAAAGGCAATATACATAAATGTGTCTCATTTTGATGTTACTTTTTCTTTTCTTTCCATCTTTTTTTTTTTTGTCAGTCATGGAGCCTGAGCTCTGGGCCTGGGCGCTGTCCCTCAGCTCTTCAGCTCAAGGCTAGCGCTCTACCACTTGAGCCATAGCACCACTTTTGGCTTTTTCTCCTTATGTGGTGCTGAGGAATAAAACCCAGGGCCTCAAGCTGGGCGCCGGTGGCTCACGCCTGTAATCCTAGCTACTCAGGAGGCTGAGATCTGAGAATCACGGTTCAAAACCAGCCCAAGCAGGAAAGTCTGTGAAACTTATCTCCAATAAACCACTAGAAAACGGGTAGAGTGCTTGCCTTGAGCTGAAGAGATGAGGGACCGTGTCCAAGCCCAGAGTTCAAGCCCCACTATCAACCAAAAACAAAAACAAAAAAACCCAGGGCCTTGTGCATGCAAGGCAAGCACTGTACCACTGAGCCACCTTCCCAGCCTTTTGATGTTACTTTCTAAAGGGAATGTATTAAAATTTCTCTGCTTTCTAAAGGGAATGTATTAAAATTTCTCAGGTGAAAAAATGGGGGGGGAGGGAGAGAGAGAAAATGACAATGTGGCTCAGTGGTAGAGTGTTTGCTTATGTAGTATACCCATGGCCCTGGCTTGCCCACTAGCACTGAAGAAAAGAGAAAAAGAATGCACAAAAAGATTTTTGTTTGTTTGTTTTGTTTTTAATGTGCTTGAACTCAGGGTCTGGGTTCTGTCCTTGAGCTTCTTATCATCAAAGCTAGCTTTCTACCACTTGAGCATAGCTCACTTTTGGCCTTTTTTTTTTGGGAGGGGGGCAGTGTTAAGTTTATTGGAGATAAGAGTTTCACCAACTTTCCTGCCTGGGCTGACTTCAAAATGTAGTCCTTAGATCTCAGCCCTGTGAATAACTAGGATTACAAACATGAGCAGCACCCAGCTACAAAAAGTATTTTTTATGTGTTCCTGAAATTGAGGCACGTGGATCATGCTTCATAAATAGAAAAAAAATACAGAAAAATATAAAGAACCTTCACTTTCCAGTTTAAGAAATAAAATTAAAGACATAGAATGGTACTCCACCCTCTTCCTGTGCCTGCATTCCCTGATGATGACAGTTTGCTACTTTGTTCCCAGAGTCAACCCTCTCCTGTATTTGGTAAATAACTCACTTGCATGCCACTAAATTTTCCTTCTTCACTGATTAGTCCTTTTATAACAAGTATAGAAAGAACTCCAATAATCCTAAACATTTGCATGGTAGGAATGAAAGAGCTTTCAGAAGCACTAAATTGTTCAGCAACTACAACTTAATTGTGGGTGGCTGTATTTATGAAGATGTCCATCTAATGTTGTACTGTTGGTATACTTTATGCTTTTAAGAACAAAATTCATGACTTTTCCCTAACAATAGCCCTAATGGAAGAACTTTGAAGCTGAACCTTGGTGGCTCAGCCTGTAATTCTAGTAACTCAGGAGGTTGAGATTTGGTTTGTTTTTTGTTTGTTTTTGTTTTTGTTTTGGGTCCGGTCGTGGGGCCTGAACTCTGGGCCTGGGCGCTGTCCCTCAGCTCTTCAGCTCAAGGCTAGCGCTCTGCCACATGAGCCACAGCGCCACTTCCGGCTTTTTTCTTTTTGCTTATGTGGTGCAGAGGAATCAAACCCAGGGCCTCATGCATGCAAGGCAAGCACTCTACCACTGAGCCACCTTCCCAGCCCAGGAGGCTGAGATTTGATGATCAGGGTCCTAATCACTTTAAAAAAAAAATAAAGTATGTGTAAATTTATGATTCCTTGCTATTTAACCCACATTAGTCTTAAACTCAAGATCCTCCTGCCTCTGACTCCACTGCTAAGAAGATTGGTTCACTTTGCCACACCCTGCTAATTGTTCTTTTTTAAAATTAGTTGACTCACTTGACTTATGATGGAAGCCCAGAACTTTTAACCTAGAAAAATGTGCTTTTTTTTTGGTTTGTTTATTTGTTTAAGACAAGGTCCCAATGATTTAGCCTGTGCTACTCTAGAACTCACTGTGTAGCCCATGCTGGACTCCAGCTCATGATCTTCCTGCGTCACATATAGACTTCTCCCACAGGCATATTTTGTTTAAGGTTAATTACTTGCTATGAACTAGTGAGTTCAACTATTTTCTTTCTTAGAATGGACAAATTCCTACTCCACATTGAAATACCCAATTATTTTGGTAGCAGTTTAAAGTTCTAGTAGTAAGAACTGGTTAGATACTGATAATAACAACTCATAAATCTGCATATAAATAATCTCGCAAAAGTAAGGTTATTGCTGGACATGGTGGTACATGCCTGGAGGGAGCAGGAGGATTTCAGGTTTGAGGCCAGCCTGGTGGGCAACACTCTCTCTCATCAAACAAAAACAGTCTTATTTTGCAGTTATCAATCAACATAAAAGGTAATTTTGTCTTTACTAGAGTCTTGCTATTTATCATATTAAAATAGCTAGAATGTGCTTAAATTAGGTACGAAACCAAAGAATTAAATAAATTATGCTTAACCTCTCTTCCCAGCCCAATGAATAAATTTTAATGCAGCTACATAGTAACAGTAAAATAAGTCACAGATGGTAGCACATATCTGAGCTCTCAGCTACTTGGGACCTCAGGAGGATCATTTGAGTCCAAGTACTCAAGGCCAGCTTGGATAACATAGAGAGGCCTCCGTCTTGAAAAGATGAAGAGACAACAAAACAGACACACAAAGCCAGTCATGGTGATGCACACCTGTAATCCTAGCACTCAAAAGGATAAAGAAAGAAAATTATGAGTTTCAAAGTCAGCCTAGACTACATACTGAATTCCAGGCTAGCCTGAGTTTACAAAACAAAAAACCTTAGAAATAAATAATGGGTGGGCTAATTAAAGTACTTCTTGGGAATTTGGAAAAAAAATACTTAGTATTTATCCACTAGAATTGTTAGATATTTCTCATATCTAACAAGAATTCTTTGGTGTTAAAGGGAAGAGGCCTACTTTCTCCATCTGAGCCACAATTCAGGTACCTTCCCTATGTGTATGTAATCCATGATTCAGGGGTAGATGGCATTAAAGGGTTCTATCATAAAGGGTTCTATCTGTTGTTACTGAATTTAGAATTATTGACCTGTCTTAAGTATTGTTCTTCCAATAGCTTATAGTTTGGCTCCTCACTATAAACATCCATACTTAGCCTGGAATTTTTACCCAAGTATAAACATCAAGTTTGCAAATACATAACTTTTTTTTCCCCCATGCTTAGGATTCCTGTATACCAGGCAAACACTCTACCACTGAGCTACCCCTATCCTTCAGCCAACCAGCATTACTTCTTGATACGGGTGCTGTCAAAATACTTTTTACCAAAGCAAAGAATCTTGGACCTAACTGTATTTTAAAGTACAGAGAGAACTTATCCCCTAACTTCTTTCAAATGCTTTGTCCAGTTCGTTCTAATCCCCAAGGGTCAGGCTGTGCAAGATTTCAGGAAAAGTTGTAGGTCTTCCTTGGACAAAGCCTACTTTGTTCATTAGTAACAGACTTTCATTCTGCAATTTTGTTATAATTTTCTAAACAGTTTTCTTTAATCCAATAATAATCCTCTTTCAGAGAGCAAAAATGAGTAAGTACAATAGTTCAAGGACCATAAACTAATAGTCTCCATTTACAAAGTTCAGATGCTATAAAAATACTGTTTACAGCAAAATTTATTTCCAATTAGTGGCCATAAAATGTTATATTAACAAAATCCTTAGATTATAAAAGATGTTTGTCATTTTTTGATATGGAAGAATATCATTGAACTAAAATTTTTAAATACTGGAAAAATAAAAATATTTATGA